TTGGGGCCGGTCCAAAGGCCTTGCTGGGCCGCATCCGGCCCCTGGGCCGTAGGTTGCCTACCCCTGGTGTAAAGAAAGCAGACTTGGACACAGAAGAAGGAAAATAGGAGGAAGGAATATCAAACAGGGGTAGGCAACCTTTTTTCCCCTTTAAGGGCCAAGGAGGGACTTCATCTCCCAGAATCCCAGGAGCTATTGGCCAACATGGCTGAGGCTTCTGGGAGCTGAAGTCCTTCTTGGACACAGAAGGAGGAGGAATGAAAATAGGAGGAAGGAATATCAACAATCTGAGAGATGCAGAGGACACCTTTGTTGTTGTTAATGGATGAGAAATCTCCAAGGCCCCCCTCTTCCACTGCTCCGCTTAAATCCTGCAAACCCATACCCATGACCTCCTTAACAGAATACTATATATCCCACCAAGGTCTATGCAGCTTATAGGGTCCCCCTGTGAGTAATGCCAGAAATGGAAGGGAGAAAAAGTAAGTACCAAGGTACTATATATCCCCCTCAAGACTTATGAAGCTTATAGGGTCTCCCTGTGAGTAATGCCAGAAATGGAAGAGAGAAAAACTAAGTACCAAGGTACTATATATCCCCCCAAGGCTTATGACGCTCATAGGGTCTCCCTGTGAGTAATGCCAGAAATGGAAGGGAGAAAAAGTAAGTACCAAGGTACTATATATCCCCCTCAAGACTTATGAAGCTTATAGGGTCTCCCTGTGAGTAATGCCAGAAATGGAAGGGAGAAAAGCTAACCAAGTACCAAGGTACTATATATCCCCCCCAGTACTATGTATCCCAAAAATGAAACTTAGGCCCCCCAAACCCACTATTGCCCCGCTTCCTTGGCGCTCACCTCCGACGCTGAGGGCGAGAAGCTGGAGGGCGAGGAGGACAAAGAAGCCCCCCATGGAGAAGCTCCGTCTCCGCCGCCTTCGACGCCGCCACTGACGACCGAGGGCCTCCGCCTCCGCCTCAGAATGAGCCTCCGGGCCACGCCCACAAGGAGGCGGCGCCTGAGGGAGGCGCT